GAACCCCTAGATACAGAACCCGGCCCTTGTTGCTGCCACCTTAGATGGGCAGAAGGGTTACATTAATATTAAGTGTTGTGCTGGACTGAGACCACTGAGAAATGGTTCCTATTCCTTGCTTTGCCACAGGTGACCTGCAGGACCTTTGGCATGTCACAGGCCTAGATTCACAAAGGTACTTAAGTGCTGTGACTCTCAGCATCACATGGCACCTAGGCTTCCTGTACCATGAATGGAGATGGATAGGCACCTTAGACTGTGATTCATAAAAGCCAGTAGAGGCGGGGAGCTGGCCAATGAGTGAAGGTGTGATAAGCCCCACCCCTGTTAGAGATCCCAGGCCACTTAGGCACCTAAATCTGGGATTTAGGCACTTAAGTACCTTAGAGACTGAGGCCTAGATTCATCGAGACTGAATTGGCTCAATCAGACTGTGGAGATGATGCTACTTCCCTCCCTCACAGGGGTGCTGAAAAGCTAAATTCATGAATATTTGCAAAGTGCTTTGGGATCCTTTGGTGGAAGCTGTCCGTGAGCAGCAAAGTATTATTTAACTACTTCACTTTAATGACCCCAGCTTGAATCTCAGGATCCTCGGTCACACCAGTTGAATACCAGTGTAACTCTATTAAGTTCAATGCAGTCGAACTAATATAGAATTGGAGTAATAGAGTGGAGATCAGTCCCATTAACTCTAAAGCCAGCTTTGCCACTGATTGACTCTTTGACCTTGGGCAAGTTTCTTGAGCTCTCTGCTTCACCTTTCCAGTCTCGGACTAGACGATCAGGAGTTAAGGAATTTAGATGGAGAATGGACTTCAGCAACTCACCAACTTCTACATAACACAGATCTTGGCACTGGCAGAACTGTTTTTTTAGCAGGATGTTTTCAGCGTCAGTGTCTCTTTAAAGAGGTTCTCTAAATCTGAACAGTATCTTGTATATGTATATGGAAAAGCAAACATCTGTATCTCCTACATCGGATAGTGGGTTTTGTACTGATGGGAGAGATGCTGCTAACCCATTTCAAATCCATCTGCTTGAAAAGGCCGTGTCTGTGAATCTTTCTCGGGCTAAAGACTGATAGATTGTCCCGCGGCTTCTCAGGCTTCTGTATTTACGCAGCTTTTCATTAAAATGATAAGTGAGGGGCTGTTTAAGCTGTAGAGCTGTTTCAGCTCTCAGTTCATTGAACTGGATCGAGCTCTGATTTCAGTGTGTCAGCACCTTTATTCAGAGAGCAATTCGCCAAGGACTTTGTGTGGCTTTTCGCAGCTGGGAAGATAAAAATTCAATTTTCCTCCCCTTCAGATGATATGGGATTGCAGTGGATTCATCTCCAGGCAAAAATCTACATTAACCCTCTTTAAGCCATGACAACATTGCTCACTTCGCAAATGAAATCCCTTCTTTCCCCACCTGCGCCTGGGCAGGACTTGGCCTTTGTTGCATTTCTTTCCCAGTGTTCCCCACTCAAGTGACCATGAGGGAACAGGACTCTCAGCACTGACGCCTCCTGTCCTATATTTTACCTTACTGGCCTAGTAAGGAAGAGCACGGACTGAATTACCCTCAAGGATCCATCCACCAGGGGCAGAGGCTAAAGCCCAGGGCTAGGAGTCAGGAGTTTATGGTTCTGTTCCCAACACTGCCAAAAATGTCCTGTGTGATCTGAGGTAAGTCACTTAATCACACCGTGCCTCAGTTTACCCAGGTGTAAAATGAAGAGAATAGCTTTGTGCTACCATGGTCTGTAACCTATGAATGTCTTTAGATGGTCAGGTACTATGACAATGAGCATGTACATAGAGAGAATCCGCTGCCTCTCAGGAGTGGTTTCCTTTTGCAACCAGTTTAGCCCAACTTCACAGCCAGGGTTACAGTGAAATATGGGTGCAGAGGTGTGGACTACACCTGCTTTTAATTTCAGGGGCAGAGGGGTCCACATTTTGCCAGCTGAGAGTATTCAGGGAAATAAAAGCTTGGATGATAAATCCCAATATCTGTGGACAGCAAGGGAGAAGCACAACACGTGGGGTTACTATCCAGGTCAGAGCCAGGGGATGGGGTTATCCAGTTCTAAAATTATCCCTAGACTACTGAAAACAGCCTTTCGGGAAGCTACTGCTCTGTGTGGTTCCAGGGCTGTGCTGCCAAGTAGCTGTTGTTATTGCTGGTGACTGGGAAATGGATGGCACCAACAAAGGAAAATGATCGTTTAGGAGGCCAGGATAACCGATGTTATATCCTATGTTTCGTTGGTCATAGGAGACACTGTTGGTTGAGGATGGGCGGTTACAGGTAAGCACAGATTGGATACTTGGCTATTAGCATGTGAGCCAATCATCCCATTTGTAAAGCTAAGGGTCCCCTGGTTATGACCGCAAGCAGTTTAGCCAAGTGTTAACTTTCAGACTGTCGCTGCAAGATTTCAACATTGCGCCTCCCACCACGCTTTGTTCTTCCCCACTTGTACCCATCCACCCCAGGAGAACTATCTCCCAGGAACAAAACACACCTGTCCACTTCATCCACAGGGAGCCCTTCCATCTCGAACCGGCAAGAGCAGCCGTAGTCTTCGAAATCCCTGGGGCAAAGTCCTGTTACACACCTCATTTTGTTCACGAAATGGAGCAGTGCAGGGAAGTTAGTGAATATGGACTGTAGCCAAGTGAAGTGAGAACCCAGGCAGTCTAAGAGAGAATAGACATAGGAGGATGATATTCAGAGCTGGGAAAGACCTAGATGATACTGTAGCTGCTGGGGTCCTCCTCCGTGGATTCAAATGCAGGATCAGGGTCTAAGGCAGAGGTCCCCAAACTTTTCAGGGTCGCACCCCCGCTTACCCAATCTGTGTCCCCCTCCCCGGGGCTGTGGCTCCCCAGTGTGGCTCCCCAGTGTGGGGTAAGGGGGCCAAGGCTAGGGCTGTAGCTGGGAGCAGGACTGGAAATGGAGCTGCAGCCAGGGGCCGAGGCTGGAGGCGGAGCTGGGGACAGGTGCGGAGCCGCGGCTGGGGGCAGGGCCAAAGCAGAACTGGGAGTGGAGCAGGGCTGGGTGGCACTCCCTCCCCACCATCCGTGGGGGCTGGCCTGGGCCCTGTCACATGCCCCTGAACATTCCTCTGTCTCCCCTCCCCGAACGTTCCTCCACACGCCCCAGAGGGTGGGGACCTCTGGTCTAAGGACTGACATAGTGCAGCAGCCATTCTGGGGGCCTTAGGAACTGCCGCCAATTTAATCCTTAGATATTAGCTTTAAAGGAAATCTGTAATTTCAGGAGTTTTTTCTGCTCTTTTTTTTATAACAAATTCCATGCTATTTTTACTGCCAAAAATACCAAACCATGAGTCTGCACTTACCAAAAAACAATGCAACGCTGTCCACGTTTTGAAAGACCCCATTGAAGAACGTGATATTGTCTAAACCAAAAGCATAATAAAAATGGTGAAAAATGTTTGCCTTTGTATAAACATATGTCGCTCCCATTGATTTCAGTATGTTGATTTCAATGGGAGGCATAATGCAGCTGAAGGCATGATATAACTCTTGCAGTATAGCCAACCCTGAGCGTTCAAAAATTATGAGACAAGCCCCCTCAAATCATGAGATTTTAATAAATAATACCTCTGGGAATCTATTTTTTTGCCTCCTGGGTTTTGAGCCTTTCAGGGTCTTATTGTCACGCTTTTCTCTCCAGCTGTGAGGGCTAGAAACATAATTTTTAACAGACAAATTGAAAGATGAGATGCTTATAGAATCCCCTGACTCCAGGAGCTGGGTTTTTAAGAAAATTCCACAAGGTATATGACAAAATGGTCAGTGATGGCATCGCCAGGTTTGGAGGTATGCAGGCATTCTTTTGTAAAGATATCTGAATACCTGTTTTTCAGGCCTTTTAACTCGTTTTGGTACAGCCGTTTGAAAATTATGTTGATGGCCCTGGATACTGAAGTCTATGCATCCCTCAAAAAAGTATAGCATATGCAACAGCGGTGCAAGCTTCCCTCCCAGCTCTCTCTCATTCTCACCCCCAAAGAACTTACTTTGGTTCCTGGGTCTCTGTGTTCTTGTAACTCAGGGAGAGGGCACGTCTGTCCCTGGGAGGAAGGGGGCCAAGGGCAGACTCAACGTCTGCTAGGCAACCAAGAGGGAGGGAGGAGAGACACTGTTTTGAGGCACAGGGGCCCTGTCAGCTCCGGGGAGGATAGCAGGTGTACCTGGATGGCCAGGGCGGCTCCAGGATTTTGGCCGCCCCAAGCAGCCAAAAAAAAAAAGCTGCGATCGTGATCTGCGGCGGCAATTCGGCGGAAGGTCCTTTGCTCCCAGCGGGAGTGAGGGACCGTCCGCCGAATTGCCGCCGAATAGCTGGACCTGCCGCCCCTCTCCGGAGTGGCCGCCCCAAGCACCTGCTTGCCAAGCTGGTGCCTGGAGCTGGCCCTGTGGATGGCCACCAGCCCACCTGCTCAGAGCAGGGGCAGTGTCTGGGGGAAAGGATCGTGGCAGAGTCAAATGGTTGACAAGTCAAAGCCCGGGAAGAAGAACTAGCCTGACCAATAGGAAGTGAGATGCCTGTTCCTGGGAGCCCTGTGAGAAGGGAAAAACCATTTTGGAGGAGTCTGGAGCCAGCCACAGAAAGGAAAGGACTTGGTGTGTGATGTGTTTGTGAGTCCCAAGCTTGCAACACAGGGTCCCGCTGAGAACTGGCATCCGGGTGCCTGGAGGCAATATCCCTAAGCCTGGTCCTTTCCCTGCTCAAGGTGACTTGGGAAAACTCCCTACCCAGCCAGCTGAGTTAGCCCTCCAACTCCCTAGATAAATCAGTTACCATGTGGCAAGTACTGGGCTGCTAGCCCAGGCCTGCCGGCCTGCTGTGACTGTATCCGAGCACTAGGGCAGGAGATCAGAGTTAGGATTTTAGTAGGGTTGTTATAATTTGCACCCTCCTGCCCCCCGGGGAACAGAATCAGCCCGATTCCTGCATGAAGAGGACGCCTGCCAACTGTGATTGTCAGCCCCTCTGCAGTGCAGTGACCGAGGAGTTCAGGTCCAGCTCAGAACCTGAGGATCATCCATGGAGTTGTGAGTGCGCCATCCTTTAGGTAGGGAAATTGTTTGGAAGACTCCCCTATTCTCTGAACTGTGTCCTCATGCTCAGGGGTGGGGTTTGGGGATTTTATTACCTGCTGCCTGTTGAACCTGTGGAGGGACTCATGTGTGAGTTGTTTGGGCTGAGCCAAGTCTGCCAAGTTACTAATTGCTCCACAGAAGCTATTGCTGTCACAGGTCATGAAGGCCTCCTACAAAGTACATGTAACAACGGGACAGTACATTTTACTCTTGCTCTGTCAGGTCATGTGACTGGGGAAATTCATGGGTATTATCAGCATGGGCACCTGAAAGCAGTGGTTTACCCCTATTATGTTATATTTACTTCCTGTTTAATATAGTTACTCTCCTGAATATACTGTGCGCTTGTGTTATTTTGTGGGAGCCTCCAACTATCTGGCAAGTAAGTGGGCGTTGTCCTGTGCTTAGAAAATTTTCCTTCAAAGCTGCCCTGCTGACCCTGCCAGGAGGAGCGAAGGGGGGCGGGAGGCACCGCTAAATACATTCCTTTGGAAGAAAATAAGGATGTTACACCCTGCTGAGCTGGAGGCAGGATCCAGATGAACCCAGGCCTGTCCATCAAAACCCGTAAGGAGTTTAATGTTAAAGGAGGTAACCAGGTGGATGGGGCACTACACCATCGTTACCCAGCTCTGAAGGAACACCCTTTAGTAGAACTGATATGTTTCATTCTCTGTACTCATCCGATCCTTTCTTCTGAGACTGCCAAAAATGTCAGCTATGGTTGTGATTTTTTTTATGTGAATATGTGTGTGCTGGGGACTGGAGTGAGATTGTCTTTCAACTACACAGACCCCAAACAGCCATCAGAAATTCCCCATTTTATAATCTCTGGGGTTTAAGAATAAGAATAAACCCCGGAGAATAAGACTAAACCCCATCTTACTTAAGATGTAAAAAGAAGTTTGTTTGGCTCAGTGGTTAAGATATGGTTAAGACCATGAAACTTGGAGGTTCACTTACCCTCCGTTTTCAGACTCACTTTTCTTTTGAGAAACAGGTAAGATTTTATAGTTTCAAATGTAAATTCCTAGCTAGTTCATTAGCTATAAACCTGTTGCAACAATAAACTCGGGATCAGTGGTACAAATTATTCTCTAGTCAACTTGAGGGACCTCACCTAGGTTATAGGAGAGATGGTTTTGGCTCTGTAGCTTTTGATTTGTGCTCCAACAACACCAATGATGCAGTATCTGACAGAGGAACCTGATCCTCCTCTTAACACTGATGTTAAGCAGGAGGAACTCCACCAAGGTCAATGGACTTACATCAAGGTAAGATAAGTGCAAGCAAGAGGTGACTCAGGGCTCTGAGATTATTTAACCTCTGCTAAAGGTCCAGTATAATGAGGGACAGATCTGTGAACACGACTGGAAAATTCTTTCTGGATCCCTTGCCCAAAGAGATTGCACCCTGGTTCCTCTTAATGCATGAAAATATTGTAACAAGGAAAGCTTAAAAATCCTTACTCAGATTTCTTTCGGGTGAAAGTGGAAGCTCTGGTGGAAGGGCTGGGGGCTCCGATTCTTGGCCGCCTGTCTCACCAAATATTCAAGAAGAAAGAATTTTAAAATGGAAAAGAAAAAGAAAATATATATACACTTCATAAGGACAGAGAGTGCGTATTTTATTGAATAGCAGATACCAGAGTGCCCTGGTAGCACCATTAATGCACTGATTCAACAAAGCATATGCTTAAGTCACGTTGACTTCGATTTTAAAGTAGTTATGCACATGCTTAAGTGCTTTGCTGAATAGGGGTGGACTTACACGCATGCTAAGTGCTTTGCTGAACCTTACCCTTACTGGGGGTACTCACATGAGCTATGACAAGCTGGCCTCTTCCATTGTGCCATTTAGTCCGGAAATCCCTGTGACCTTAATTTGTTTGATTTGCAGTTAGGGAGAATCTGCACTGAAGCTCCATTGCTAATTCAACCCCCCTATTTTCCTGTGTCTTCTGTGCTTGGATGTCCCTTTCAAATACAGAATTCTTTTCCTAATGCTCCCTCAGATTCAGTCCCAACTTTCATTCTCATTGGAACTACCTCAGTGCTTGAGGGCTTCAACTCAAACCGTATCATGCTCAAGGGAAGCAGCACCATTAGACAGTTATCAGTTTAGCAATGTATCTTATCAGAACAGGTCACCTAATCTGTTAATATATTAATAGTGCGTTGCAAGAGATATCTGAGAGATTTCTTGTTTGCTATATTTCTGATTGCTTCACTGGGGAGCCTAGGCACTGGTTATTGGCATGTATTTGTTTAGTTTTTTGAAGTCCATATTATTATTATTCACCATTTATAATGCTATTGTGCCTAGACTCCAACCAGGTCAGGGCCCCATTGTGGTAGGCCACTACCCCAAAGATTGGCTTATATTGTCTACCCCCATCGGCTATTTCTGCTTCTTCATTTGGATTACTGCTGCCTCCCTTTGAAGCTGCCAAGGTAGAATTTCCCCACGTTTACTTTTCTGTTCACAAAATTCTGCATTGAGATAAAAGGTGGTGATTTGTTCTGTTCCTTCTTGCATTTCTCCACCTGGTGGTGAGTCATTTGCAGAGTTTGTGTTTTTGTTTTGGGTTTCTTTTGCTTCCTTAAGGATGGGTAAAAATTTCAGACGTGCTTGGGGAGGAGGTAGCATCGGAGAATCTTGGAGCCACTTATTTTTATTTCTGCACTAATCTCCAGGAGCTCCATGAATTCCTCTGAGCCCCAGTGAAAGGCTTTTGGGTAAACAGTGACCCAGCAAGATTGTCATTCTGCTTGTAGCCTCTGCTTTTCTCCAAACAGAAAAGTGCGTCTTACAAAATGTGACCTTTGCAGGAAAAGAGAAGCAGCACTTTGATAGCTACAAGGAATTCAGATCACTGACCTAAAATGATCGGAACCCATTAGCAGGAGTGTCATTTAATATTGCACATGTATAAACAGATTTGGCCCGGACTTGCAGTTAAGCAAAGCTATCATTGATTTGCAGGCTGCTCCCTGTGCTCCCTTTACAACGATAAAAATCCTTTGGCCATGTCATGTTGTTACTGTTAATTACATGTTGGGCCACATTCTCAGATGGTGCAAATCAGCATCGCTCAGGTGTAGTCTTTGCTGATTTGCACCAGCTGAGGACCAGAGGGTAAAATTTTCAAAAGCACCTTATCCCATTGACTTTCAATGGGACTTGTGCTCCTAAGTCACTTAAGCACTGTTGAAAATCACACTCAAATACTTTAAGGCCATCATTTTCCAAAGAGTCTAAGAGAGTGAGTCTGATTCCCAACTTCCATTGACTGTCAATGGATTATGGGTACCCAACTGCTGTATCGTCCTTTGTACATCCCAGACCAAATCCATAATTCTGAATCTGAAAACAAAGAATTTATGCAGAGCAAGAACAATAGCCCTAAACTCATGGAGAGCAGAGGCAATTGCTCAAGCATGTTTCATAGCTGACTTAATTCTTTTGAACAAGTTTAATTGGCATAAAATTACTAGCGCAAGAATATCTGCAGCCTGCTGGAGATGTTATATAATAATCTCAGCCCCCCGGTAATTATTTGACTCCTTTTCTTTGTATGACCGATAATGACATTTCCAATTTCCAGTTAGTATCAATAGGCCAATGTTTGTTAACAAAAAGAGAGAACCTGGTTTACAGTCAAAATATAAGGAAAGGAGCTCCCCACACATTCTCCTTAGTACATACAAGAGAGCACAGGATTCGCAGTCAACAATTTAGTTGACAAAAGTTAACCCTTTCCCCAAGCAGATTGTGATTTTTTTACTACTTTGTTATTTAATATGTCTATTCCAGAAGCACCTAGAAGCACACTGAGTTGGGGCCCCATTATGCTGTGTGCTAAACAAACATGTAGTAGAGGACAATCCTGCCCCAAAAAGCTTACAGTGTCACAGAATTTAGTAATTCTGAATTGTTCAGTGAATAGTTGAAGGCTCTGACTGATCCTATAATGAGCTCCACGCAGGTGCCCATACGGAATCCCATTGACTTCATTCATTGCAACATCTGGGCCAATGCAAAGATAGTTTATCCTGTCAGTTACTCAGGAACTACCTGTTGCAAGCATTGCTTTACTCTTTGTTCCCTGACATTTGTGCTGTGAGATTGTTCACAAGTTAAACAGTGGTGTTTCTGCACCCTGAGCAGATGAATTCCAAATACGCAAACTGCTTTCAGTAGGACCACAAACACTTCCTGCATGCATGCTTGTTCTAATATATAGTCACATGAATATAAAGTGATTGCCATCTGTAGAGGGATTCCTGGTTTTGGAAGTATTCCTCTTCTTAAGTCTGGGGAATGACTCTGAAGTGTCTAGTATTTCCTGAACCAGTGTGTCCACTGGCATTTGCACAAGGTTTTTGTATAATTTCCAATTTCCTAAACATGTTCTTCTGAACAAAATGTAAGAAGTACAGACATTTGCAAAAGTAAATAAAAGGGCTCAAAAATACTCTCAAAGCAAATGGATGCTTTTTATTTGCAAAAGTAACTCTCACAATCTCTTACAGACTTTACATGTGATTCATGTAAAGAAAGAAAATGTTTGTTTATTAGGAAAACAAAAGATGAGAGAAGACTCTGGATAAATCCTTGACTTAAATGGCTGACATCATGTCTTTGAGTGTTCATACTTTATACTTCAGATGTATATGGCACCTTCCCTTCCAGCCAAGGAATGTTCACTTTACAAATATTAATTAATTAAACCTGAAAACACTCCCATGAAGCAGGTATTAACAGTCCTATGTTATAGATGCTACAGAAAGCTTCAGAGACTTGCCCTTTGTCACACAGGAAGTTCTGTGATAAAGCCAGGCCTCCTTCCCCCCTTACAGCTGTTATTGCAAGACAGAGGTGGTATTCAGATCATATAATTGATGCTGCTCTTTTGATCGTGCTTTCAAGAAGTGTAATCTTAACAAAGTCCAGCAATGAGAGAGCGTGTGCCCTCAGCTTGTGTGTTTATAATCACAGCTATTTCAAATTGCATAATGTGGCACAAGGAATGTAGCACAATTATGTCAAAATTACCCTAAACTTTTTGGAGCAGACAGCTCAGTTGGGCTTATATACTCAGTAGTTTAACAAGCCAGGTCCATCAAGCAAACTTACAGCAACTTCTCCGAAAGCCACCTAGCTCCCACTCAGAAAATGGAGATCAACAAATAAGGGAAAAATCAAAGCTGATCATCTTTTCCAAAACGAGAAAAGCTGTAGGCCAAAATGGACGTGGATTTTTCAGAAAGCCTTGACAAGGTCCCACCCCAAAGAGTCTTAAGGAAAGTAGCGATGGGATAAGAGGGCAGTTCCTCTCATGGATCAGTAGCTGGTTGAAAGATAGAAAAAACGGGTAGGAATAAATGGTCAGTTTTCACAGTGGAGAGAGGTGAACGGTGGGTCCTCCAAGGATCTATACTAGGACTTGTGCTCTTCAACATATTCTTTAATGATCTGGAAAAGGGGGTAAACAGTGACGTGGCAAAGTTTGCAGCTGATACAAAATTATTCAAGATAGTTATGTCTAAAGCAGACTGCAAGGAATTACAGAGGGATCTCACAAAAGTGGGTGACTGGGCAAAAAAAATGGTTGATGAAAATTAACATTGATAAATGCAAAGTACTGTACGTTGGAAAAAATAATCCTACCCCACTCCCACCCCCAGATGCACAGAAAGATGGGGTCTAAATTAGCTGTTACCACCCAAGAAAGAGATCTTGGAGTCACCCTGGATAGTGCTCTGAAAACTTCTTCTCAATTTGCAGCAGCTGTCAAAAAGGCTAATGGAATGTTAGGAACTATTAGGAAAGGGCTAGAAAATAAGACAGAAAATATCATATTGCCACTATGGTGCACCCACACTATGTTCTGGTTGCCCCATCTCAAAAAGGATATAGTGGAACAGAAAAAGGTTCAGAGAAGGGCAACAAAGATGATCGAGGGGGTGGAATGATTCCATACAAGGAGAAACTAAAAAGATAAGAACTGTTCAGCTCAAAAAAGAGACGACTAAGGGAGGATATGACAGAGGTCTATAAAATCATGAATGGTGTGGAAAAAGTGAATAAAGAAGTGTTATTTACTCTTTCCAACAATACAATAACGTGGGGTTAGTCAATGAAATGAATAGGCAGCAGGTTTAATACAAGCAAGAGGAAGTACTTTTTCACACAATACACAGCTAACCATGGAACTCCTTGTCCTGGAATGTTCTGACTGCCAAAAGTGTAACTGGGTTCAGAAAACAACCCATAATGTTCATGGAGGATAGGTCCAGCAATGGCTATTAACCAAAATGGTCAGTAGGGTTGCCAACTCTGACTGAAGCTATTCTGGGAAATTATTTTTCCCAACATGATGTAATGTCATTTTCTTAAAATATCCTATTAAAATCTTCCAGATTGCTTTCAATAGTCACCGGGAGATCGATGCTGATTCTGGGAGACTCCAGGTCAGTCCTGGAGAGATGGCAACCCTAATGGTCAGGGATGCAACCACAGGCTTGGGGAGATCCCAAACCTCTGACTATTAGGAGCTGGGAGTGGATCACTCCAAAATTGCCCTGTTCTGTAGACTTCACCTGAAGATTTGGTATGGCCACTGTCAGAGACAGGACACTGGCCATACAGTATGCAGCTCTTGTGTTCTTATTTAATTAAAACTTTCAAATCTGGGTGTTTAGGCTGGGATTGCAAAGGCGCTCAAGAAGAAGTTAGGTGCTCAACAACCCTTGAATTTCATATTGAATTGAGGCTCCTGTGGAAATCCCAGTCCTAAACATTCCAATTTATTTTTAAGCAACTAAATGGAAGTTTTTATCTGGGTGCCTGACCTTAGGCGCTCGGGTTTGAGCTTTTAATGGCTGGTGCAGTTTAAAGATTTTAGCAGTATATTTGTTTGATCAATACGCAAGGTCGTTTTTACCCTTTTTTTGGATATACACACTGATTTTCTAAAACCAACATTGTAGCAAATATTTCTGTACTAGTAGCTGAAAGCCCCTTGCTGTCAAATGGGGATAACTTATAAAGTCAAAATGGCTGAGAACTTCAAAATGGGATGGTAACAGACGGCGAATCTAGTGATGCTTGAATCTGGTGATAGTCTAAACAAGAAGTTCTCTGCACCACGCTTGTAGCTGTTTCCATCACTTCAGTCATTCTAGGACCAGCTTCAGAGTCTCACACACACACACACACACACACACACACACACACACACTCACTCACACTCTCTCTCTCTCTGTCTCCTGGAATCTTATTATATAGATTCTCTGACATTAGAAAAAAGAACACAATGGTGTTCTTGATGACTGGTATTGTTATATTATGCTCTTAACGCTAAGCTTGATTAATATATTTCTCTTCTGTGATTTGTGTTGGTTCAATTCTCCACTGACATTCACACCATAACAACCCCTTTGAAATTCGAGAGATGAGGCCGGTGTAGTAAGTCAATGCAGAATTTGACTTCATGTGAGCTCTATTACTGTACTTCTTTCTAACTTCAGAGCAACTCCTTCCACACATTGTGACAAGAACAAAACAATCGTATGAAAAGGAAGAGAATCACATCCATGATAAAAGCTCAGGAAGATGGTTTAGCTGAACCTCATTGTATTTATGTATGTCTGAATGGTCCCGAGTATTTGGATAATATGGATTTATCCAAAGACTAAAAACCATTTATAGATATTTTGGAACCCTTTTATGTAACTGGTTTGTAGGATTTTTCTAATGAGCAAAACACTGGCATTGTGTTTACATTATAAACCCATTTAAAAGTTTTCTTACATTGCTATAATGTCTTTGACATCCTGCAAAAACACATTTTATCACTAATCTGATGACTGTGCCATTTTCAGTATGTTCTAGGGATGAGACCGGGTGGCAATCCAAATACTGTTTTCAAAAACTAGTCCACTTGAAATGGTCAGTATTAGGCGTAAATGTTAAATAGACATAGAAATATGCAGTCACTTACCACTGTATAATACCATCAACATATTCATCAGCAGAATTACAATCATTGTTTTAATCCAAAGAATGGAAAGAGTCACACAGCAGAAACATTTGCCTGGTGAATTAAGTAAAATGTTATGTAGGATGTTTACGTCTTAAATGTAAGAGTAAAAAGACATTTGTTATAGGGGGTCATTTGCTGTGACTGAATTACTTGTGTAGCCTGGTCATATTTCATTCTGATGTGACATGCAGCTACCCACTAACACTTGTGAAATGCACATATTATAGCAAAGCTGAGTCTCACGTGGTATCCCAACATTTTAATTGATACAATGACTATTTAAACTTGATTAACAATATTTGCTACAGGACCATTTGAGGTGAGTAAATGGACTATTCCAAAATACTGTTAGTGGGAAGCCATAACTGGCAACAAAATGGTGAACTTGAAGCTTGTTTTGTTTTGATTCTGCAATAAATTTGAATGTCTTTAAGGAATATTTAATCAAAACACTTCTTTTAAATATGGCACATGTATAATGAAACATTGTATAGTAGTCCAGATCTTCAGCAGATGTAAACCAGCATAACTCCATCGACTTCATTTAAACCACCAGAGGAACTGCCCCCGTGATAGTCAAACGTTAATTGTAGCTTTTACAGATATACTGATGTAGCATGTAAAATATTTTCATATTGATGTAAATTATACAGCATGTAGGTCTAGGGCTGAGTCTGCTCTGACTGACAGCAATATCAAAGACAAGTAACTCCACTGAAGTCAATGGAGTTTTGCTGATGTGAAAGGGACCAAAAATCAATCTCTCTGTTGCTGTCTCCAGCTGTGGTTTATCCTAGGTTTTAATTTTCTAAATCAGACATTACAAGATTTTCAGATAAGCAAATGAACATTTAATTACCAATGTGCAAACATGTATTTACGCCCCGCGGTCTTTTCCCCTAAATACTGCTTATAATGCTTAACACCAGCATAATGCTGACATTCACATTTACTAAATTCTCTTGTAATGCTTTACCAAGATGAATGGATATAAATATAATGGGGGGATATTTCTGGTTTAGTACAATATCCTAAATCATTTTGCCTGCGCTTTATTCTGCATCCTCACTGTCTTAAATAGTTTTATCTTAAATAGTTTTCTCTTTGTGTGCAATTCTTTAACAATAAAGAGCATATGAAAAAGAACTTACCTTGAGGAATATTATTCAAGGGTAGTAGGATGGAGGACAAATGGATTTCAACAGGGTCAGTAGTAAGTGATTTATACCCCCTTGGACGTGTACTTTACCCATGTGATCACTTCCTTTATCAACCCTACTTCAACATTTATTAATTAGTCCTTTCATGAGATTTCTGCAGGTCAGTATACCTACTGCATAGCTTAATAATATAGCACGGGACATGTAAAGGATCTATATTAAGAGGCCTTTCTACAGGTGCATCCACTGTGCTGCACGCTGACTTAATATGCTGCTGTAATTAAATAACAATTGTTTCACTGTATTCCCTCTTCTACCAAATCTCTGGGTCATGTGATTATGGCTTTTAATAACTTAATAAGAGGTAGAGGCCAGTGATGAAAGACTACTGAAAACTTATACAACATTACAAGCTTTGGCATCCCACCAGTGTTGAAAACCCTGCCTTTATCTGATCTCTGTGGGGCTGATCCAAAGCTTAAGGGCATCAATAGAAAGGTGTCCACTGATTGCAATGGGCTCTGGACCAGGTTTTCTCTTGGTTTAATATGTACTCCTTGTAGCAATACCAACTGCAGTTAGTCTTCAAAGTCACCATTGGCAAAGGACAATGGTTATTCATCTCAGACGCACAATTGTAGTGAAAGCTAGTTGCAAGTTTGGGATATTTTGCCATTTTGGACTTTAATAAGTCACTGTAGCTGGGGTTGAGGCTGACAACACCGGGCGTTCCAGTTTGCCTACGTGGCAGAATTTGTCTCCTGAGGCAAGCCGTCAAGATCACATTACTCTTGTACTGCGCACCCTCAGTTCAGTCACAGTGCCATTTCAAGGCCTTGGTCTCAATGTGCAAGGCCATAAAGGATCAGACCTAGCTAGACTAGAAGACTCCCTGTCTACCCATGACCCTCAGAGACAGCTGCACTCTTCTGGGACACTGTAGCAAAACAAAGTAGAGGCTGAGGCTCATGAGAACCAAAAGCAAAGCATCCTTGACTGCAACTTGTTATACCATAATGACTGGACTGAAGCAACGGCTGACCCCTTTCAAGCAAGCCAAGCCACACCGTTCTGCCAGGCTGTATGTTACCAAGGCAGTTACGGCTAAGATTCATAACACCATTCTCTTGTCTTCACCTTAATTGGTCAGTTCACATTAACTGCTTAAGGACCGCTATGGTGATTCCTCTTTTGTCATTAGGCTCTGGGCTATGTGCAAAATAGGAGTCAGGGAAACCTTCTGTGGGTGGTCTGAATGAGCGAAGAGTAAAGTAATTGTTTCCTCAGGGAGGCAGATGGCGCCACAGTTTGAAATCAGCAGCCCAGAGAGGTGTCTTTGATTTACAATGGGCCACCTTGCCAAGTGGTGTGAATTGGCATAGTTCTGTTGACATCAATGGACTTATACCAGCTGATGATCTGGTCCAACATATTAATGTGAGGAGGCTGGAATGGCCCAAAAGGTACGTAAAAAGGGCTGTGGAGCTGGTCCACATCAGTAATAATTAGGCAATGGAGAGAAAGCAAGAGAGTAAAGACTACAGCGGGTTAAAAAATTTCTATTTCAACATTTCTTGACCAAAAAAAACCCCAATGTTTTCAAAAAACGTGCCCATTGTGCTACCGAGGAGCTTCCAGCAGCAGAGTAAAGCCCCCTAAAGTGATATCATGATAATAAGAATCTCTCATTTCCACAGCTGTACGAATGCTGGCACTTCCTGCTCGGGTTTCCATCCAGCGCAGCAGCATGGTTACTGGTGGTGGCTTGTTTTGGGAGCCTACTGGAAATATTGAGCTTTGTAATGCAACTCGAGCGAGGCTGGTGACTGATAATTAAGGCTGCAGGTTTCTCAAGAAACAGAAAATAGATCACAGAGACCTTGACTTTCCCTTTTGTCCATGACTCACTCCACAGCGGTGGCTCCTGCCCCACGAGGCTGGGCTCAGTTTCCCTCTCCTAGTGCATCGCCACTCAGGTTTGGCCTGGTTGTGCCTTTGTCCTGATGCAGGGGGAAGGACAGGCAAACCCTGAATGGCACTGAGACCTGATGTTCCAGGTCCCAAGGCCCAGAGTGGGGAGGTAGGCCCAGTCCTGTGGGTCGCAGGAGCTACTGCTGCCCAGTCCCAAGGTGAATCTGTGGTGGGCTCACTCTCCAGCCCTGCCCCCCCACTCCCCTCCTCATTTGGGCCAGGATTGGGGTTGTGGTGCAGGGTGTGTGTGTGTGTGGGGGGGGGTGCTGCCACAGGTGGCCAGCACCCCCTTATTTGTCAGCGCATTATTTAATCAGACATCATGGAAAAATTCTGTCCAGCATTTTTGCACAGAAAATGGCTTGTTTACCAAAACGAAAATGTTTGTTTCTTTAAAAATATTTTTTTTTCAGTGAAAACTGGGGAAACACCCAAAACTGAAAAATTGCTTTCCAGTTTTCTATGTTTCTGCTCTCTCTCTCTCTCTCAATCTTTCTCCATATACTTCCCCCTTTTTTCCTCTTCTTTTTCCATGTTGCCACTCAGTAAGAGAAAGAGGGGGGAGGGGGAAGGATAGGAAAACTAAAAATTTCTTTGTTTTCCAAAAATCCCAAAATGTTCAGTTTCAGTTTCTAAACTTTTTTTGTGGGAAGTTTTTTAAATGGTGGGTGGTGGTGGTTTCTGTTTTTTAATTCTGCAAAAACCACTGGCCAGCTGTATCACAAAGGATACTCCTGGTATTCCTAGTCTGATTTACAAACTGTTCATACCAGGCATTGTTCTTTCTAAATGGCCTGACTTTTACTAAGTGGTGTGGTTATAATTTACGTTCTAAATTCCTTTGCCCTTTGCTATGACTGATAGCTTAGCACTTGCACCCTGCCACCAGGTACTAGGGTGAACATACGCTTTGAAAGGGGAGCACCAGAAACCCTTGTTATGCCTATAGACCAGAGGTTCTCAAACTGTGGTCCGCGGACCACCAGTGGTCCGTGAGCTCCATTCAGGTGGTCCACGGATACTTCCCTCTAACGTGCGCGCCTGGACAGCCACACACTAGAGAATGAAGGGCGACCCACCTAATTAGTGGAGCCGCGCAGGCAACCTGCTAATTAGGTGCCTGGACCCTGGAGAAGACACACATGTAAGGTGAGGTGGTGGCTTTGGAGAGAATAAGGAAAGATCATTAAGTGGTCTCAGCAATTTTCAAGTGGTCCGCGAAAAAAAAGTTTGAGAACCACTGCTCTAGACTACTCTGTGATTCTCAGTTGTGAAGTTCTTCTTCTTTGGTATTGTATTAGTTAGTATATTCTTCTCTTTATTAAAATATCTGGGTTAAATTTGTATTCAGTAACAGGGAAAATATTTTTGCCTTGTTTGAAATGTGAATAGTCGGATGACATACTTTTGATTCACGGCAGCATTAGGTGTTACATCGGAACACAAGTGTTATGTGATTTTTGTTTTGCTGTTTTTGCTTTTATTAGCGAGAGCTGTTAGTTCACTGAAGATAGACAAAGGGGATGAAGGGTGCAGGCTAAGGACAGGAGTTTTTAGTACTTGCTATGAATCGGCATAAGCTAATATAGATTCAGCATAGCAGTGAAAGCACTGTAGGTACAAACATTTCTTATAGAAGAAGATGCAGTGGTTGTGTTCTCCTACTCACATGGCTCATCAGTGTAAAGCACAGAATAAGGGCGATCTCTGGATTTGGAACACTGAACGATCTGAAAATGTTTAAGTTCATGAAATAGTAAACAAGTGTCACCTCTTGGGCATCTTTTAGGTCTGATTTAAAATTATTTCATATTTATTATGATCTCTTTAATGTAATTTTGGACAAACTAACAATCTGCGTACATTAACAGACTTTATTGATATCTTTTATAAAGCACAGTTTAAAAATCTTTTAAAAATATTTCATTACAGTTAAATTTATTGTTTGAAGTTCACCTGGTTTTATACATCATTTATACAATCCTTTGGAGGAAAAACAATCTCTAGAAAATAGCTGGTTGATACAAATATTTGTAACTAACATAGATAGCCATCAATTCTTGTTAAATGGAAAAAGACTACTAAAGACTGCCAGAACTCTTCTCATTTGCAGTACATTCCCTCAGTGCTTTAGACAGATTTACAGATGTTTGTAAGGCATTTTTGTTTTAACGCTGGAAGAACAAAAGAAAATCACACTCAGAACATATTTCACAAGGAGAATTTCTAAAACATATTGTAAGCTTCATTATACCTTTTTATTTCATAAATAAAAGATAATAAAATAGCTATTGGGGAAAGACTCTTAATCACTCTGTAGAGATTTAAAGCTCGTTAATGATCTTTAGATCACGAGCGGCTCCATAACCTTTTGCAACTTACTGAGCCAGATTTTCAGCGGCTATAAATTGATATACCTCCACTTTGACACATTTAATAGACTATGGAAGAGTATAGCCAGAAAGTTTACTTACTTTGTGAGTAAGCCATTCTTTTGACCCTTTCACAGACGTAAGTTGCATTTTTCAAGAACCAGGAATAGTATTCAATACAGTACCTAAAGATTTAGTCAAAGTTAGGGGAGTAATATCGGTTCATCTATTGTGATTTTATACGTACATTTTTTCAAGTAAGTGTTCTAGTTTAAAAAATGTATGCTGCATATAAAAGCCTGGATTCTGATTTTGTTCATGTCGCTATAAATCTGGAATAATTCCACTGAAGTTAATGGAGTTACCCAGGATTCAACCCCTGTGGCTGTCAGATCAGAGACCGTCCCAGAATATTTATCCATTGACAGCCCAATTCCCAGTCTTTACTCAAGTAAAACGGCCATTAACTACAATGGGAATTTTGCCTGTGGGAGGACTGCCTGACATTTTATTTGGAGATCAGGTAATTCTTACAAGACTTGTGCTTTCAAAGATAAACACAGTTAGCCCAACCTTGCTGTCACCCTAATAATGCAATATAATGGGCTGACTCCATATATTCTTTTTTGCAAGGGACTATAAAGCCTACACTGTACACATTAAATCCCACTGAGTCAATGGGGCAATGCTGATTCACACCAACTGAAGATCAGACCACTATCAGCCATATTACAAGTGCAATGTCATCAGGAATAATTACCCAATGACACCTACTAGGGATTTGCTTCAGACAGATTTGAATATAGGGACTAATCTAAAGACCATTGAAAGACTCCTATTGATTTCAATGGGCTTTAGATCAGGCCCATAATGGAATATGACGCATTTTCTAAATACAGATCAAAGGTGGGTGAGGTCATATCTTTTACTGGACCAAGTTTTCTCTTGTATCTTTCACCAACAGAAGTTGGTCCCATAAAAGATATGACCTCACCCACCTTTTTTCTCTAATATCCTGTCACTGACATGGCTACAATAATGGAAGATATTTTCTAAATGTCTTTTCTTCCATTCTATATTTCCATCTCTCATTCCCACATGCGGAAGTGCTTGATTTAATTGGCTCCATATAGTTTTTCCTCTCAAAATTCTTAAGCTTTCAAGGCCACCAATCAAGTATATAGATTCTCATCTAAAGAAATTATTGTCCACATTCCTCTCTCTTTCAGGAATAGGGATTAATGGGAATAGCCCAATGCAAGGATATCCTACTCATCCAGAAGTATTATCAAAATACTGAGAGGTCTATATTTGTAACATTTATCAGTAGCTCTAACCATATTTAAACATTTGGCGATTTAGAGTAGGATTTTTTAAAGCACTTAACATTGCCCTAAGTCTGCTTCCAGTGAAGTCAATGGCAGTTTTTTTTATTACACACTGTCAGGACAATGCTGAACACTTTTGAAAATCTGTCGCATAAAGCACACTTAAAAGAGCCATTTTAACAGAAGAGTTTAACAGAGGAACAACTTGAAGGCAGCACGCAAAGGGTGCTGAGATGGGCATGCCATACATAGAAGCCTTGAGGACTATATGGAAGCAGGAAACCACACAAAAACTCCTTCCAGCACAGAACATATTGTTCTCTCTCAATTGTTCTTTCAGCTCCGTTAATTTGACTCTGCATTTTGTTGGTGTAAGTTCTGGGAACAAGTGGCTCTGCTCTGGGTGTGAGATAGCTCCTCCCCCAGCTCCCAAGTACCTGATTTTCCACAAGCTCATCACTAACAATATTTAAAAGTTAGGAAAAAATTATGTTGCCCCCACCCCGCCCAACCTACGGCCAACTAGAAGGAGTCTAAAAATGATTGTCCTGGGTTCTCCAGCTACATGCAGAGTTCAAAGCCCTCTTGGACTAGAGGAAGACAATCTAGTGCAGAAAATGGGAAGGATCAAAGGCTATCCTGAGCCTAGGGAGGGAGCATGGAAAGAGACACCATGTATAAAAAAAATGAGGGGAAGAGGCATGATTAGTTGAATGCCTCAAAAAGTATATCACTTATCTAGGCAATGAACCTTGCAGCACCTTGCGGAATCAACCTAAGCAGCACTTTTCCTTTACCAACAGGATTTTCTATTGCAAACACACCAGCTGCTGTTCCTTTTACATCACAATGTTTTTGATATTATTGGGAGAAGAACCCTGCTGGTGAGGAGCCTATTAAAATATGTACTTCAGTGCTGGTTCAACATCAGGTCTGCAACTGGGATTTCAGAGGGACTTTCATTTTACAGTGACAGCTTCAGCTAAGCGAATGCCTCCAGTTTATACCCATCTCATCAGGAACATGATGCTCATTAATTTTTGCTGTATGGTCGGCATTAACATCAGCCCAAGAACACAGTGAACTCAGAAGATCTGCTACCACCAGTGAGCTGGATCAGACCAGGCTGCACTTGCATTGCTGGTTAACGACACATGGCTGGAAAATTTCCAGTGAACCATTTTTGTAAAGGAAAATGGCTTTTTTTGACAAAATGGCCTTTTCTTCAAAAATGTCCAATTTTCTCCATTTTTGGGGCAAAATAGTGAAATTAAAATTTTTAGTTTGTTTATGAAAAACCTCAAAAAATCAAAGAAAATTTTTGACAAAAATGAAAACTCATAAATTTTCATCAAATAATTGAATGAAAAAAAAATCTCCACCAGCTCTCCTGTTTATGTTCAATGCTGGTATAATTCCACTGACTTCAGTAGGATTATGCTCTCCAACAGCAGGGCTAAAATTTGGCTTTTTATCTTGGAAGTATGCACGCTCTCCTCCTCCTTTTCCTGTAGCTATAGCCAAGCTACCAAGTTATGTAGGAAATAATCTCCTAAACCAGTCAAATCAAGAGGGCTTGAGCTGAGCCAGATGGTTTCTTCAGCGCCATTTTCAACTGAATTTATGAGCAGGTGTTACTGAGTTTTCTGAGAATTAGAGAACTACAAAACACTCCTCTGCTCCAATTTACAACGGAGAAAGAGAATCCTCTATTGTAATACACTTCAGTGTAAGTAGCAGCCTGAGGCCTATCTCAGGGGAAGCTGGAGAGCAATGGGAGAGGCACATTTTTCCGGTTCATACAATGACTTTCATCTTGTGTTGGACACATGCAGTGGCATCCAGCCATGGGATTTTTCACAATGAGGCAGGTAAGTGTTAACATCCCCATTTTACTGATGAGGAAACTGAGGCACATCATTTAGGTTATCCACTCCTGGGCTTTATTCCCAGCTCTACTTCCAACTTGCCCAAGGTCACGCAGCAGCAGAACAGAGCCCAGGAGTCCTGCCTTTCCCAGTTTCCTATTCTAGGCCTGAGGGAAGATCCTGGTCCCTCAGCTCCATCACTGTTGTGCCCTCTCCTCTCATTGGGTGTAGGCACTACAGCAGAGCTAGGAAGCGGGGAAGGAAACTATCCACTCCCCTGATCCTAGAGCTAGTTCCACCATCGGGGAGTGGACAGTTGCCTTTGCCGCCTTCCTAGAACCCTGTGCCTAGCTGGGAATCTGACCTCTGATGATGAACAAAACCAACCTGCTAGAAGAATGTGGCCCCAGTGTACTAAACAGTCCTTCCAGGCAATGAGTGGCCTGTGTGAACACAACATTCAGGTTACCTTTATCCAAAATGAATCACTGACTGAAGCTGAGGGACATGCCCTCTTCTCAGACTCCATTTTGCCCGCCTGCCCCCACATAAATCCCAATCCCAAGTGGTTGGGGCTGATGCTTCCCTGAAATGCGTCCTCCCTGCATGCTTGATTGTAGGGTCCCATAGGGCCAGACTTGCAGACTTTTAAAACTAACTGTTGGTGATTGGAAACTGTCCTTTGAGAGATTAACGCAGAACATCTCAAGAAGGTAAAGGATGGCAAAAGGAGGGCTAGATTTACCTCATGGCTTCTTTTCTTGAATTTCTTCTTTGATTGACACAAAGGCACTGCTGGAAAAATTTACACAGCTCCATCACGCAAGGATTGATCTTTTGAGCCATAAAGGTAACAGGAGGGGAGTTCATGGATGGCTCTTTAAGAGTTGCCTGTGGACATCCTAGAAGAAATATAACTCTGAACTAGTGTGAATACTTGGGAAAGATGCTGATTGACAAGTTCATTGCACTAAATGTCATAAAAACCAAACCTGTGTGGGACAAAACTAATGGAAAAACATAGTACACAATTTGGGAGATCTTTGAGTTTAAAATAGGGAGGTCTCGGCTCAATCCATGCTAACACCTATTTAGCACAACTCTAAGGAATTTTCTTCTTGCGTTCCTATTTAGTCTTTTACAGAGCATCATTTATAAGTGGAAGTTCAATATAACTGAAACTGCAGCTTTCCAAATTGTGATGCACTGAAAAGATTGAGAATTTTATTCCATTTCATTATAAATGACATTTTCTATATCCAGGTTTCACTTTATAGAGGATACAAAGGATTCTGACCTACAGTTTTGCACCCATTCATTAAGAAGGTCACTGACAGCCTAAAGCAGAAATGTTTCCCAGGTTTGGACACCTCATTTTTATTCATTCTAATGGGAATTGGGCATCCAGTTCCTTTAAGCAGCTCTGAAAATCTCAGTCTAACTATCTTAGCTGTGGGTGCTTAGATGAGTATACGGACTAAACAGTCTCTGGTGAAGGGTAGGCTGAAAATTTGACCCAAAGCCTGTAGAGTAATATTGTTTCCATTTTCATTTGTATTTCATACATGTTTTCATCATCTGCACTGAATGTTCTAGCTTCATGAATTCCCAAGCCTATATGATTGAGGTCTAACAACAATCTCTAGATTCACTGAGGGTTCTCAGTGCAATTGTGATACCGTACCTTCTCCTATAGACTTGTGATGATCTGCTGGAATATGAATTGTTAAGTAATGCATCACCTGGTTCATATTTTTGTCCCTTAGAGTGAAATATGCCGGAGTTCACAGATGGCAGCCTCTCACTCTTCTGCACCTCTTTTTATATATCTGTTTAAGAACAGGAGAGCAGAGGCTTTGACACTAACTGAAATATTACTGAAAGGTTTCAGAGTAGCAGCCGTGTTAGTCTGTATCCGCAAAAAGAAGAACAGGAGGACTTGTGGCACCTTAGAGACTAACAAATTTATTAGAGCATAAGCTTTCGTGGACTATAGCCCACTTCTTCGGATGCATATAGAATGGAACATATATTGAGGAGATATATATACA